GGTCACTCCCCTCCCCTGCTCCCAGGGAGCACTCTGGCCGCTCCCCCCCTGCTCCCAGGAGCACTCTGGCCGCTCCCCTCCCCCGCTCCCAGGGAGCACTCTGGCCGCTCCCCCCCTGCTCCCAGGGAGCACCCTGGCCGCTCCTCTCCCCCACTCCCAGGGAGCATTCTGGCCGCTCCCCTCCCCCGCTCCGAGGAGCACTCTGGCCACTCCCCCCCTGCTCCTAGGAGCACTCTGGCTGCTCCCTGTCCCTGCTCCCGGGAGCACTCTGGCCGCTCCCCTCCCAGACAGGCTCATGCTGGTTCTGGCAGCCTGTGGTCCGCTCAGTGTTCTTAGTCACCCTGTAATTCAACAGCATCGATCTGAGGCCCGCCGTAGTAATTTTCGAGCTTCTGCATGCATGCGAGGTGATCGAAACTTCCCTTATGATTATTCATTAGAGCAGGTGCACGTCCCCCATGAATGTAGCAGTTGCCATAATAGCATCCATCCTGACACTGGCGGTTGCTTGGGCCTTTTGTCAACATCTCGTGCCTTTCATTCCTGAATCTGATGCTCATGTGAGGAGGTTTCAGACTACTGGCTGTTCTGAAGTCAGAAATATTAATGTTAAAGTGACGTCTTTTTTTATTGGACATTCTGTAGTATCCAGTATTAGCTTTTTTTCCATAGGTGACGATACAGGCTTTGCTGGTGGAACAGCTGGAATAAGGCCACTTAGGGATGGATTCAGGGTGAGGACTTGCATCGCTCATGACCCTGTCTGTCACTTCTAGTTGATGAACACCACATGCCAGTCACTGTGGTGTTAGGGGTCAAAGAATTGACGACTCGCCGCACCCTGTGAACAGAGTGGACCTTCCCTTATCCCGTAGGAGCCTCGTCCTCTCACAGTGAAGCCCACTGCTGTGGTCCCTGTGTCAACCTAGCAGGTTGCCGAGTCAGTCTGTCTGGCTGAGGGGCTTCCTCTCTTTCTTTGGCCTTCCACCTTTCCCAGCATGATTTTCTCTTTCCAAGGAGTGTCCCTGCTGACAAATATGCCACAGGACACGAAATGAAGTTTCACCATCCTTGCCTCTAAGGAGCACACTGGTTGTGCTTTCTCTACGACAGTCCATGGGATAATCAGTACTCTTCTCCCAAACCACAACTCAAAGTCATCAGTTTGCCTTCTGTCATACTTACTCACTGTCAAAATTTCAGATACAAAGGAAGCAAATGAAATGACAATGACTTGGATCAGATGCACCTTGGTCTTTAAAATGATGTCATTGCTCTTTAGTACTTTGGAGAGTCCTTGACCACATCAGTGTCTACAGACAGGTAAAATGCAAATATTCATAAATGAGGATTTACTATGAGTGTGAAGGCTGACTGTTAGCTAATTTAAAAGGTGTTAGGTAATGGTAGCTGCTCTAGGCAATATGGTACTGATTTTTTAATCCTGGCTACACTTTAAAAATCACCAGGGGAGCTCTAAAAAGAAATGCAAACCTACCTTCAGATATTCTGGTTCTGTCAATTAAGAGAGGGGACCCAGGATTCAGAATCCTTAAAGCTTTCAGGCCATCCTAATACATAGGCGGGTAAGGACCATTGTGGTGTTGCCTGAACTGAGGCCCAAGGTAGAAAATGGAAGGTTTGTAAAGTTCAGATGTGTCATATTAATACTCAGGTGTAAGATTTATTTTAGGATTTTGAGTTCTTAGCTTGATAGCTTTACCTCAAAAACCCCCTCAAAACTATTACCATTTGAAAAGTAGCTCCATAATCTCCGTCTTCCACGCTCGCTCTAACTGTAAAATCACTAAAACTCAGTGTTTCTGAGCTTTGAAGATTTTCCACATTTTAAATAGTGATTTTAATGTGTTTACAGAAAAGATTTTTTATTCATTCATTGTTGCACAATTTCCTCTCTGCCTCTCTAATCATAGATTCCTTTTACACAGTTCTCTCCCTCATCTTTTCCAATGCAATGTTCATTATCTATCCTTTCTTTTCCTAGTTGCCCCCCAGCCCCCCCATGTCAGTCCTGTTCTGTGACAATGTTGTTAGGCAGTATTGTGACTGAGCTAGTTCACTCAACATAATTTTTCACATTCCAATGTGTTTGAAACCTCAGTGAGTCTTCAAAGTGATGACAAAAGACAGCAGCCACCACAGAGGAGTACACTGTGACACGTGGGAGTGTATTCCTTTGTGGGACATCTGCATTGCTATAACTGGAAATGCTTCAATCAGAGTATCAGTTGTTGCTTGATGTGGCTCCTAAGACATGACCCTGAAACTGAAGTTCAGAAAAGATTTTTTTTATAAGCATTCATTTATTCCTTCTAGTAAGGGCCAAGCAAGTTCTAGATGGTCAGAGCACTTTGGCTGAATAGGTGGGTCACAGGATGTTCTAGGCCAAGAGAAACTGGTGTAATAAGCACCAGTATCCAAGTGCCAAATACACAAGAGTTTCCAACAGACTTTGAAAAGAACCTGTTTAACACCTCCAAGTCATAATTCAGGTTTGGGCGAATAAATGAAACTATGAATAGAATTAAATGGAATGCAGACAAAATCCTAGTATTAGTTTGTCTTGACATTCTGATAGTTGTCTAGAAATTAAAAAAGAAAAGACTGTGTGGTTGTATGACAGTGACTCAAAGTGATTAGAAGAACTTTAGACTTAGGAAAAAAGAAAGCTTAGGAACTCAAAGAGCTTGCATCTCAAGGAAGATGAGGTCATTTTTCGCTGTTGACTGAAATCAACGTTAGTGAAATGAAGTCAGCGATTTTCAAGTTTGCGCTAGGAAAAGATACTCTAATTATGTTATTAAGAAATTTGTAGTTATTTTAACTTTTTGTGTTAAATTTATAAGGCAGGCAATTATGTTTGTGTGTTGTCTACATATACCCCCTTCATAATCTGTTATGCTGGGATGGACATGTTAAAGGATTGCTCTTAAGAGTTCTTTCCTGCTTTTGTGAGCCTAATTGCACCATTAAAATGCTTTTATGAGGACGTTGAAGAAGCGGAGCCTCTGGGAAGCGCAAACAGCCGGTAAAGGGCCCCTGCAGCCTTTAAAATGCACGTACTAGAAGGCTGAGCAGCAGGGGAAGCTCCGAAGGCTTCCTGGTGAAGAGTGTGCTGCCAGCAAGAAGGCACGCGGTTCAAACCCACCAGTCACTCCTCGGGAGAGAGGTGGACAACCTCCTGCGTCATTTACCGCCTCTGAAAACCTGCAGGAGGATTAGCTATGAGTCAGTTCTGACTCAATGAATTGTAAAGAACCACAAAAGGCTGACTTTGAATATGGTCTCTGCAGCTTTATTATGATTTAGGGTGCGTCAGTTAGAGGTGTTTCACTTGCTTTTGGCATGATTTCATCTCTGTACTGTTCCTTTGATATTTTAGTTGGAGTATTTCACTGCATTTTCACACGGGTAAGGTGTCAAATTTGAGATGTTTCCTTTAGATGACAGTTTCCAAGCTCATGAAATCGAGTAGATGTTGAGAAATGCAAAGGATTGAGGGGTTAAAAGAACAAATGATAAAACTAGGTCTGTTAAAAAGTAATAGTATGCAGGTATCTGTCCTGTTGTGACAGATATTTCACTCAGCATAATGTCCATAGTGCCACTGTTGTAGGATGGGACTGACATTAGGATTGGGGTGAGACTGAGAAAAATTGGATGAATTATGTATACTGCATTGAAACAGATGAGGGAGAGAACAGTTTAAAAGCGATATATGATAGGGTATTATGGTTATGACAAGAGTCCAGAATGAAGGTTGCCTAGTGGAGTGTACTCAGGGTGGGGAGCGAGGTATATTTGTATACTAATGAAAGAATTTTTCTTTTCCTTTTCAAAGATAATAGCAAATTGGAGTGGGGGAGGAGTAGACAGGGAGAAAAATGCCACAATGAATGATTGGAAATCCAAAATCTCTATAAATGTTCATTAAAATTAATAAAATAAAATTTTAAAAAAAGAAGTAATGGTATTATCGATCTTTTATCAGAATTCACACCTTCAGAACTTTTCTCTTTAGTAGAAACTTGTCTGTCTAGTTGTCTGCCAATGTTATTTAACAATAATACTTCGATGGGGTTTAAACCTATTAACTTAAAGCCAGTGACTGGCTAAAGACCCTGGCAGAAGATTTCCAGCCACTCATCTGAGTGTTCCAAGTTTTAGAGAGAAATGACATTTATAATTCCTACATTTTTCCTGCCTTGGGGAGGTACTTCACTGAATTTTTTTTTATGATACCTACTGTGTGTGATTTTAGAAGTTACTTAGGGCATTACAGGGGCTAGTGTACTTAAAAGCGAAAACTAAATATTTTATACACTCAGTTGCATTTTTGCTCCATTTAATACATGTTCACAAGCACTCCACTTTATCTGATGAGACATTTTGTATCCTTTATAAGATTTAAGGAAGACTAAGTTTTCCGTTCACTCCAGTTTAGCACAACTTCTGTGCATGTATACCAATCTCTACAAACACAACTTAATACTTAGAAATGTAGAGCAATAGCAGAAGGCAGTTCCTTCGGAGAGGAAAAGAGAAAGCAAGAACACGGAAGATGTTCTGCCGGGGCAGTGCAAGGTTTTTTGTAACACTGGTACCATTTTCAACCTTCATGTGGGAGACCTGGTTGGAGTAAAAATCAATGCATCTTGTACAATCTGTTTGTGCCGCAGTTCTATTTTCCTCTGGGTATATTCTTAGCTGGGAATAACTGGGTACTGTAGAATTTCTATATTCAGCTTTTTTTTAAAAAATTAAGTTGTTGGTTGGGTTTGTTTTTTTTTTTTTCCATTCATCCATTGTTGCACTTTTCTCTCCTCCCAACCCTCTCCCCTTGTATTCAGCTTTTTGAAAAAACCCCAAACTCTTTTCCAGCGAGCACCAATTTACGACGACGTATGAGAGTTCAAATCTCTCTGCATCCTCTCCAACATGTATTGCTTGCTGTCCTATTAAACTCTGCCACTGGGGAGCGATGGCATTTATTGTGGTTGTGATTTGCATCTCTCTGACTGGCAGTGATTTTGAGCATTTCGTCATGTGTCTGGCTATCTGAACGCCTTCCTCTGTGAAGTCTTTCCTTCACTTTTGTACATTTTGTAATTGGGTTATCTGTCTTTTTCTTGTGGAGGCCCTGTAGTATCTTGTAAGTTTCTGCTATGAGATCCTTGTCAGATATTTTTCCCCCCAGTCAGTAGGCCTTTTCCCCCACCCTTATAACAACAACAACAACATTGGTAAAAGGTTTTTGATGCACCTAGGAACTTTATCATTAGGATAGCCCATTCATTGATGTTATCCTCTCCGCGTTATGCATTCCTGGCTGTTTCTGCCAGTCTATGGAGGGTCAGCTGTGGGTCACTTCCAACTCTGTAGTACACAACGGCAAACAAAACAAACCCATAGGCTGGACCTTCAAAGCTTGGTCCCATTTTGCCTCTTATGACCTTTATGGTTTTGGTGATACTGTTATTTTCTCTCTACAAGTGAGTGTCAGTGGGCCTTTGTCCCCTATTGGCTAACAAGGACCTAAGGGTGAAGGCCTGCTCAAAGGTGTGTCTTTAAAACGGTAGTGAGGGGCTGAGTCCATGGTTATTAATTTTTGAACATTCTTTAAGTGGTACAGCAGTCGTTTGTCTATTTGCTGTAGTGAATAACTTGGAGTTGCTGTGATGCTGAACACTCTGTCATAGTCGTGTCAAATACTGTTATGGTTACACATCACGGACAATGTTTGGAGGAGCTTCCAGATTGATTAAGGTTAGAAGCAGGAGTGGCATTCTGTTTCTAAAACAGATGTTTCTGGAAACTCCATAAACTCTATAATCATACAGAAATTACGTTAATTAGAGAACAGAGTTCAGGTCTTTTGTTCATAAGGTCACTATGAGTTGTATTCGACCTGATGACACTTAAGCACTGCTAAGTGAGACGAGTGTTTTATTTGGAGGAATATTCTTTTACTTTGTACGTCACTCTTCATCAGTTTGCTGTACTGAGATAATCTGGGTTTGCTGTGATGCTGAACCTTGTGCCACTGGGGTATCAACTGCGGACAGTGTTTGGGGGAGCTCCGATGTAAAACATGTTTGGAAGCAGGAGTGGCATCCACTTTCTAAACCACATGCCTCTGGAAACTCTAGAAACTTGGAGAAACAATGACAATTATGGAAAGCCATTGGGTCCTATGTTCATAGTCACTATGAGTTGTACTTGACTTGATGGCAATCAATAACAACAAACATTTATTTAAAAGCAGATTCCAAATTAAAAAGGAATGCTTGTTTTAAGTCATAAAAAATAGTAGAATTCAGGGAGCTCTGTTATGGCCTAGTGGCAAGAAGCTGCATTGCAATTCTGAAGGCGGTTCATATCCACCAGATGCTCTCCTGGAGAAGGAAGGGCTATCCTCCTCCTGTGCCAGTTGGATGGAATTCAACGGTGGTGGTGGTGGTGTTATGTGCCGTCAAGTCACTTGCAACTCATAGCAACCCTATGTACAACAGACCTAAACCCTGCTCTGTCCTGTGCCAGTCTCACTGTCTCTGACACTCCCATCTCAATTACCCCAGTAACTGAGTCAATCCACCTCATAGAGGGTCTTCCCCTCCTGTGCTGTCCCTCCACCCTACCAAGTATGATGTCCCTCTCCAAGGACTTCCTCACAACATGTCCAAAGTATGTCAGACGAAGCCCCAGAATCCTTGCCTCCAGAAGCAGTCCCGTTTAACCCTCTCCAGGATGAATCTGTTGTCTTCTTGGCGGGCCAGGGTACATTCAATACTCTTCTCCAGCACCACAGCTCAAAGGCATCAATTCTCCTATCCTCCCTAGTCATTGTCCAATTCTCTGATGCATAACAAGTGATTGCAAAGACCATGGCCTGTATCAGACACACCTTAGTCTCCAGAGTGACACCATTGCTTTTCAGTACTTTGGAGAGGTCCCTAACAGCAGACTTTCTCATCGCAATACATCTTTTAATTTCCTAGCTGCTAGTGCCAAGAGTGTTGACTGCGGAACCAAGCAGACTAAAGCTGTGAACACTCTCAATCTCTTCACCATCCATCGGTACACAACCAAAAAAAAAACCCCAATCTCTCCCTCCAAAAAAAATAGTGGAATTCTTTTTAAACACATTTATTTTCCCTTATAATTTGCTTTTGTTGAAAATACATTTATTTACATCTAGGTAGAGGTAATTTATTTTTAATAAAACTATGATCAAAATAATGGGACATGTATATTTGAAAATGAGACCCTCAATTTAAAAAAAATACATATTCTGATTAGTTGTAGCACTGACTCATTTTATCTTCTACAGCTGGAGCTCTGTGTAACTTTCTGACCCTATTTGGAGCCAAGTTTAATATACATGTTTCCAAAGTTAAAAACTAAACCAACTGAAAAGCAAAACTAGGCAACATTTTTTAGTATTATAATCACAGGGCTTCTGGAGGTCCGCCAATCATATCTTAGCCCTTTTACTAGAATGCTGACTGAAGCTGCTGAGTACAGATATTTCAGTCAGGATTTGGACTAAGAGGACCCTTTTTCTTTTGAGGACTTGCTGGGGTCTGTCAGTGCCATGGTAGATCCTTCTTCATTTCCAGAGCCTTCCGGTGTCTGCAGCTCTTGGCATTGGTACTTCACCTTGAGTGGTTTCCCAGGGTACCACACCAAGTGGATATGACAGGGAATGATTTCCTGTGAAATAAATAATGGTATTAGAGTCTGTAGAGATTTCTAATAAAAACAGGCCCGTTTACAATTTCGTATCTTACCTGTGTTGAGAATTCGTGAAGTAGAACAGTGTAATCGAAATCAATTGCATCCCCATTGGTTTTCTAGAGGAAGGGGGAAGAAAGCGTAATTATCAGTTTATATTCACTCGGGCTTTGGGAGGTTCATAAATGGAGCTCAAGCTAGGGGTCATGGGTGTTGAGCTCATAACCAAAAGGCCATCCCCCGAGGTAGAGAGATGAGCAGTCTCCTGCCATGAAGCCCAGCGGAGGGTCACCAAGTCAGAATCAACCGGAAGGGAGTGGTTTGGTGGTACAGTGGGGAAAGTGTTGGACTACTAATCAAGAGGTATGCAGTTCAATCCCACTAGCCACTCCAAGAGAGAAGGATGGGCCCTCGTCCCATTGAATGGAGGGTTGCCTTGAACTGGAAATGACTGCTTGGCAGCGGGCTGGGTCTTGGTATGCTGTGTGGATTTGCTCTGAAGAGTGCCTTCACTCTCCTCCTGCGACTTTAATCTCAGTCTCTCTTCCTCTGGCATTACCCAAAGTCACAGATGGTTATTTCTGCTTTGTCACTGTGCCATATGGAAACCCAGCTGGATATCTCTGTGTTAACCTTTTCTCTTAATATTTATCGGTTTTGGTGGAGGCTGAGGTCTGTGGAGACCCAGAGAATCTTTGAACAACCTTGGACATCTCGCAGCACCACCTCATGTTGTCAAGTCAGAATCAACTCATGGCTGACTTCCCAGTAGGTTTTCAGAGGCTGTTAAACTGCACGGAGGGAGCTTGCCCATCTTTCTCCGATGGAGCAGCTGATGGACTTGAACCACCTGCCTTTGGGCTGCCGCTCAAGAGAGTATGTATATCCTTTGAGCTAGTATGTCCGTCCTGTTACATCAGGCAGTAAGGCGGACAGGGGCAGCCAGCATTTCCAGAGTGGCTGTTATGGCCCAAGAGTTGGCTTTGTACAACACTCTCCTGTAATCCCAACTGACGCTGATGTGTCTCCTGAGCTGGGCCTACAGGGGAGGTAACTTGAAGTTATAGCTGACTGCAAACCCATATTCTTCCAGAGTTCTACACCATTGCTACAATCAACACATCAGCTATTTATAGAGGAAGATCATCTACTCCCCCTCAGGCTTTGATTTCTGTAAATTTTACAACCGAGAAAACCAAGTTCCTTTTTATTTCATTTTTGGCAAGGATGCTTTGCTAGTAAAAAAATGAAAGAGGGGAAAAAAGAAATATCTCTATTTGGTTTAGAATATCAGTCTCCTACAAGCCACTTACTTATAAGGCAGGCAGTGAAGGCCACCTTGCAGTGGGGCCTGCCAACTCCTTCTCTGCCCAATCAGAAGCAGTGAGGCCGGACCTTTCAGAGTTCCCGCCATGACATCTACCCCTTCTCAGCATCTGGGCCACTGCCCTCTCCCTCTAGGGGAGCTTACCATTTTACTCCACACTCCTAGAAACAACACCTGTATATCTTTTTCTCCCTTCTACAAACTCCAACAATTCTTTCTCTTGCCTGTAATCCCTACCTTGCCCTCTCAACGGAATTTTTCTCACCAATATATAAATGTCCCAATTTAAAAGTGCTAAAGAAAAAAAAACTCCATCCTCCACCCCAACCCCCTTCAGCTGCAGTCTCTTCTTCCTTTATTGTCTTCATTCCCTTTCATATGGAATTCCTTGAGAGGCCTGGAACGTTCACTCCTCCCACCCTTCCTCCTGAGGCTTTGTCCCACTGGGACAGTGACCAGCTCTTGGTAAGGTGTCCGGTGGTCTCCAAATGCTAATTTAAACACTCAATTCTCAGTCCTCAACTAGAATTTTCAGGAGTATCTTTTACAATCAGTTCTTACTCATGAAACTCTTTCTTTTCCCTCATCTCTAACCTCTAAAGTGAGACATCTTCCAGGACTCAAGCCTTAAATAACATCTTTTATCTAAAGTCAGTCATTCTGACACGCAGCTTTAAGCATCATCTACAAGGGAGCTCTGGTGGTTCAGTGGTAAGAAGATGCATTGCCAGCCAAAAGGCAGGTGCTCTGGGTCCACCAGGAGGCCCTCAGGAGAGATGGGCAATCCCCTCCCCTGGCGTCAGAGCCTCTGAAAACCTGCTGGAGGGTCAGCTATGAGTCACATGACACGGCACATAACAACAACAACAACATGAGCTTCAGGTGCTCAGATACACACGACGATGAAAATTCTCTGCTTTAGATAAAACAGATGTCAAGTCAAGGCTGACTGATTTCCACTAAAACCTGTTCAGAATTTCTATAGTCCTCACCAGGTCAGGAAATGGAAACCCCATCTTTTTAGTTCTTGAGGCCAAATCCTCAGTCATCCTTGTCTCTTTGTTTTATAATCCCCCCCCTCCCATTATTATGAGCTCTGGAGCCTAGTGCTAAGAAGCTTTGCTGCAACCTCAAAGGTGCACAGTTCAAATCCACCAGCTGCTCTGGGGAGAAGAATGAGCAATCTTCTCCCATGCAATTAACTGCCTCTGAAAACCTGCTGGAGGGTCAGCTATGGGTCAGTTCTGATTTGATGGCACACAACAACAAACAACAACATATTTATTAAAATTGTTGTTGTTGATGATGATTGCCTTTGAGTCGAGCACAACTCATAGCGACCCTATGAACAAAAGGCCTGAAGCACCTCTACAATTATCAACATCAAAGTTCATAGTTTAGGACGCGATGCCACTCCTGCTACCCATGAAATAATACTGTTGGTCTACTTTCAAAATATGGGGAAAATCCAAACACTTCTCTCCACGTCCACTGCTCCCACCCTGGTCCAAGCAACCACGATGTCTCCCCTCAGTCTCCTCAGGCCTGCCCTTCCTTGTCTTCCTACACTGGCTTCTCCAAAGGGCAGCCAGAACGGCCCTATTCACCAGATCAGGTCACGCCTCTGCCCAGAACCTTCTGATGGCTTCATGTCAGAGAGTAACTCAAGTTCTCTTCGTGAAGGCCCAGCACGCGAAGGCCCAGCACGCCTGGCCCAGCCAGCCCCTCCCCTCGCCCTCTCTGAGACTGCATCCTGGCTCACTGCCCTTGTGCACTCTCCACACTCGCCTCACTGCCATTTCTCCGAGGAGCAGCCACATTCCTGCCTTAGCACTTCTCTGCCTAGAAGTCTCCTTCCTTGTGGAAGCTCAGCTCCCTCTTCATTCTCCTTGGCCTCTGCTCCCGTGTTAGGCTGCCCGAATGCGAGGGGCCTGGCTTTTTCACTATACAAATAACAGCTATATTCCAGTGTTCCCTTCGCCCTCCTTTCTTTTTCTCTGTAGCACTTCCCAGCACTCAGGACATGTTTACTTATTTATTGAATTCATTTCAGTGAGGGCGGCAACGCTGTGAGTCTGTTCACTGCTTGCACCCTCAGTCTCTGAAGCAACATCTGGATCATAACAGGCGCTCTCAAGTTTGCTGAATGAATGAAATGCAATTAAGTGCCTCGTCGTCAAACGAAGATTTCATTCCTTCTAAGAACACACGGATGCCTGCGGAACCAGTAAATTTCCAGTGTTTCTTACCCACTGCCTCACGCTGCTGAGCTGGATCATGTAGTAATACAAAGACCGGGTGGTCTTCTCCCACATCACGTAGGAGCTGCCGAGGTAGGCCAAATCCCAGAGTGGCCGCAGAGCGGGGTCAACATGTCCGTGGCTATCTGAGAGAAGGGAGGGATGCACATCGGTAGTCAGGTCCATGTGAGGCAACATTTCAGACATTTGAATAGTGACGCGAGAGCTCACATTCATCCAGAGCAGCCATCTCCCCCCAAGCCCGGAAGCCCTCGAGTGGGATGTGGGATTTCTTAGGATCTGTTCCTACACTGACTGAGATTTGTGCATTTCCTCTCACACACCGAGTGCAAACACCATGATGATACCAGACGTTAATCTCATAAAGTCTCCGTGGTTTAGAAGTGGTCTTAATTCTGCACACCCATGTTTATTGCAGCTTTGTTCACGATAGCAAGGAGTTGGAAACAGCCTAAGTGCCATCAACAAACGAATGGATAGAGAAGCTGTGGGATATTCACACAAGGGAATACTACGCTGCACTGAAAAACAAAGAACTCATGCAATATTATTAAAAATGGGTGACCCTAGAGGACATTATGCTGAGTGAAATATCTCAGTCACAAAGGGACAAATACTGCATAGTGCCACTGTTGTAAAACAGGACTGACATTGGGGTTGGGGAGAGACAGAGAAAGATAAATAATGTATACTGCATTGAAACAGATGAGGGAGAAAACTGTTTAAAAGGGATATGAGATTAGGTATTACTGTCATGACAGGAGTCCAGAATGAAGGCTGCACAGTGGCGTGGACCTGGAGATTGTAAAACAATGGGGGAACTTTTCAAAGAGATGAGTGTACTGGGTGGGGGGGGAGTGGTGGGCAGGGAGAAAAATGCAACAATGAATGAATGG